TTTATAATTAAGCATTTGCAGCAATACTATTTATGTTGTTCTCTTTTTTTTTCTCCAAAATTTTTTGTGTGTCAAAAAATAGCATTCTTATTCTTTAGAAAGCAAACATGATGTTTGAAAGATTTTTCATCCGAGATTCGTCGCTTTTAAAGAGTGTGCATTAGACGTTCTCTTTCGTTTGATCGGTTGTGTACTTCTCATATATTATATAACTCTCAAAAGTAAGGAGAAAATTCTTGCATGTTGACTTATACGCAGTTACTGTTCGAAAACAAGTGAGTATAGTCTAACATGTCAGTCTCGATCGAAGAAAGGAAATAAAGTATTTATAGGATAAATTATAGAATTCTCAATCAACTACTATTTCAAAGCAATACTCGTCTTTGAATCGCTAATTAATCACCTACAAGTTGTTGTTTTCTATACAAATTGGTTCTCGTAGTCAGACATTGATGTGAGGGCAATTAGCACAGATTGCCTTGATACGAGCCGACATGCTTCAGAAGTTCAATCAAGGAAAAAAGCCTTTACCACACAGATATCCTTGCTGGTTATTCCATCAACTATATGAACAACTACAAATATTGTCAAGATGGGATTGATTCATAATCTTTTCAGATTGTTATATAACGCACTTGCTCGACAATAATCTAGCCTCAAATCAGAATTCTACATTATTGCACTTGATTGAAATCATATAAGTTGTTAATCTCGTAAATAATTTGAACTTAGCACACGACTTCGTCCATTAACTAACAATTCTAGCATATATCATTCTCCATCAAAAACAATGACGTCTTTGCGTGAGATAATTTTTGGTTATCAATATACATTTCGGTTAAACTCATCTTATGCGCTGCAGCATTCATGATGATAACGACGTTTGTTATTGTTTCAGTGAAGCTTCGTGCGCGAACATTGAATGATCAAAATGCACTACCAACAAGTACGATATTCTAAATTATTTTGTCACAACTCAATTTCATCTATTTTCTAAATGGAACAACACAAAAAAGTAGTACTAGAACTACTTCATTGATACAAAAGGCTAATAGTCACGTTACAGAAAAAAAACGAAAGATTTTTCTTCCTATCACGCTATTTCTCTCGTAAAGAGTTAAAAACACGTTAACATTTGTTCAGTAAAATACGATTGTTAATAGGTATTAAAATATTGAATGAGAAGACCAGATTGTCTTCTTCATGACACTTTGACTTAGCTACTTTTGGAACAAAAGAGGAGAGATTCTGAAAAGAATTTTCGCAATGAATAAATAGCTCAAACTACTATATAGAGAAGAAGGTGACTATTTTTCGGGCTGATTATGTTCATATATATAGTTTTTCTCACAGATTAGCAAACATAGATGACAAGTATCGTTGCATGCCAATGGCACATCTTGAGTTCTCGAAATACTGAGAGTAGATGTGTATCATTTTGTTGGATGATATCGAAATAGTATTGAATGAAAAACTTCCGATGATTGAGAATTGATTCACATTGTAGAAAGCCCTTGTTTTAGCAAGGAAGTGTGAAGGGTGGAATGCATGTTATGACGATTTTTTGGATAGAGGAAGAGTAAGCGCTGATGGAACTACGCTTTATTGTATTTCTTCCTATCAAGAATCGTGTCGTTTACATACGAAGCACACGCTTATATATGTAACCATCATAGAGAAGAGAGAAATATGAAAGGAAAGGATAATAAGGACACGATATGATAGGAACAAAGTACAACATGATGTATAAAGTAAGGACAGAAAGATAAGGACAATATATAAGATCAGAAGAAATAGTACAAAGAGGACAAACATCACGCATACAATGTACTTAGTCGGGAACGTTACAAACTATTTATACTAATGATTCCGATGTGGCCACAACTACTGTACATTCAGGCTTAGTTCGACGTGGACAAAGTCGGACTCTTAAGGTAATTCTCCCTGATCAAAGCCGTTATACAGGTTCTGTGCAAAATGATGTCAGCCCCTTTTCATACGACTTGCAATACGGAAGTTATCAATTTGTTCGAGCCGTATGATGATACAACTGACTATTTATACGAGCTTTTTGAACACTTAAATTTCATACACTTACACTCATTTATGCCTCTACACACCAGAATCGTAAACAGTTTGTTTTTGTCATTGTACACAATTAATCTTAGGTTAGCAAACAATATCTTTCAATAGAGTTCTAGCATAAACAGTTGGCACAACATGCTGATTATACATGAACATGTCATACAGCTGTTGTTAGAGCGATGAAATGATTCTGATGATGTGCGAATGCCGAATCAGGGATACATAAAATGATATACTTCGCAAATGTGAGAATGTTAAGAATCAGAATGATAAAGTCTAATAGAAACAGATTGTTCCGTATGTTCTTTTGTCACTCCGATTTACTCTGATGTCTTCAAGTATCGTTTCTTTTAAAAATTATAATATAAAGAGCGAGTCTGCCACACAATTAGACATTTTCAGTCACCGACAATGAAGTGAGTTTCTAGAATTGGCTACTCCTCACCCTCTCTCTTCAGCACACCTCAGAATAGACAGTCATCTTGTGTGTTAGAAGGGCATTCTCTATAAAGGGTCATGTCTATGAAAATTTTAAAATTCCTTTTACAAGGCCGTGCACTTATTAGTTAATATTTTCCAAGAGTATTGAGTTTTTGGAAACTATGCATCAATAATTTTGAAAAATATCTGATTTTTTAATGTTTTTTTGAGCATCCTCTTTTTGAATTTTCATTCATAATCTATTTCTAACGAAGAAATGCTTTTTTCAGCCAAGAAAATACTTGAAAAACATAAAGTACATTTATTAACTATTTATGATAATATTAAAAATATACTATTGTTGAGTCATGCAAAAACTATCTATTTTCTCAATAGAAGGCCACCAAAAGTAACGATATACCAAGATACTGTATCAGAGCTTACCCTTCTATTCTGAGAGAGAAATACAGTTTTCTTTATCTGTTAGAAAAGCATCAAAATATACAGTTTGTGGAATTTTCACGTAGAGCCGGTGCTTCTGAACTGTATTTCTCATCGCAAGATTGAGTTTTCTCACTGGCTTTTAGAACTAGCTTATGTTTCTTTCGACAAAATTGCTTTTAGTATGTCAACCATAACGAATTTCTATTTAGAGATATTTCTAGGCAGAAAGATCGTGTGTGAGTGCAGGATGTATCGCTAAGAGTCACGCCCATATTCGCACCCGACTATTAAACGCGTTAAGGCAGCAGTTTGGCCGTTTACTTATCTGTCTACCTAAGCGAAGGAGTGTCAGTTGAGGTGCCACAGGAGGATATTATTAAAGGTGTTCTCGTTGTCAGTGACCTTATACTGGTGTTGTTGCCAATGAATAATTCGAAAACAGCGATCAAGTCGCAGCAACGCTATTTTTCGAAAAAATAAACTGTCGCTTCAACAGCTACGAAATCTAACGACAACAACCGTCACATTGAAAATGGAACCATACCGAGTTTGCACTATGGCAATTCGTTCCTTTTATTCTTAGTTCAGTGATTGTAAGCAATCGATCGAGTCTTAGTGCTCGATATGAGCGAAATTAATACTTTGGTTCTATTCCAGACATTAGAGGAGTCGACAGTATTCATAAAGTAATCGAAATGACCATTTTTCTATGCTTAAATACTCGAAGTATGTTTCTATGGCAGTGTTGGCCCTATCGATGTCATAAATAACATTTAATGGAGACAACTAAGCATTACAACCGATGTCCAACAGCCATATACAATATTTTTGTCTTCATCAGTGCTGATACCTGCTGTCGGTAGTATTAGTGAGCTAATGATATCATCTGAACGATGTCTCGTTGACGTACCATTGAGCCACATTCTTGAAATCTGTGCTCTTTATCTTTCTCAAACAGCTAGAATAATACTAATTCAACCACAGCAACACTTCTTCTCCATATTCTACTCTACCACTATAAGCGCGCAATGTATTGGTAGTTTTCAACAAGTTCTCTTTTTTCCATTCAATGCATTCCAACAACTACTGTTATTAGTGTCGAACTTGAATTTTCATAATTCTATTTCATTTGGTCGACTTTTGTTGAAACCGACTGTACACTGAGAAAAATGTCCTGTGTGTCGACTCATGAAGCAAATATTCGCATAAGTGATATTCCTGCTAAGAGAATAAATCGAATTCTTCTTGTCAAAACTTGTGTCCTTCCATAGGTACCTACCACATGTAACGACGAAAAGTCAACAACATCTCAAATCTCTCTGTACATCAATACACATAGCACGTCTCTAATGTCCTTCGATGAAATTAATGATTGTTTCAGTGATGAGATATGAGACGAAAAATTAGTGAAACTCGGATCTGCACGAATAAAAATAACAACCAACATCAATGTGCCCTATTGTAAAATTCAGCTCTTACTGTTGATCTTCACTCGATTCATTAAGAGAAATGCTAAGTTTTGACGTCATCGTATTCGAAAAGAATGTTTTTTTTGTTTTTGTCGTCAATCCACTTGATCTCTTCTCAAATAGAGAAATGTCAAGATTAGTTTATTTGCTTGTAATATCAAGTACAAACGGGAAACGAGACCCTAGACATACTGTTCTCTATTCATTTTACGAAGACCCTTATTTCGACCATCACTCAAAGATTAGTCAACAGCTAGTCTGCTTCTATTCTCTCTCTATAGAACATCGTATTCTTGCGCCAAACTCCAATGTTTTCGTACAGTATGCTGAAATGTCAAATGAATACTAAGCATCAGCGATATGATATTTATGAGCCTATAATTCTGTGGACATTTGCTCGCGGATTAAAATGCTCTGATGTGATTAAATGAAGACTAGGGATAAGGGATGGTTGTCCTCGGACAAATAAATAGGGTTTGAGCTTCATTTTACATTCAGAACCAACATTTCGACATTAGCGTGCGCACAAGCAAAACAATGCTGGCAACTGCAACTAGTGTGAGCCTTCTCTTGCTGTCCTTCATGCACAGCGTTGGTAGGTAAACTTGAATGCATATCATCAAAAATGCAACCTCTTTTCATATCTAGCTGGTAACTGCTTGGCTGGTGGTGGCTGCGCAGCTGGTCTCTGCTGCTCCGCATACGGCTATTGTGGTACAGGCGCTGAATACTGTGGTGCAGCAACTGGTGGTTGTCGAACTTATGGCTGTCCAGCAGGACAATGCTGTTCGCAATATGGCTAGTACGTAAACTCATTTATTTTCTTCTAATCACCACATTTTTGGTTTCACTTAGCTGTGGCGTTACTGCAGAACACTGTGGGGGAGGCGGTGGTGGCTATGTTGGCGGTGGTGGTGGTGGTGGCTATGTTGGCGGTGGTGGTGGTGGTGGTTATGTTGGCGGTGGTGGCAGTGGTCTATGTGGCGGTACGGGTTGTCCAGCTGGATCATGTTGTTCCTCATATGGATTGTAGGAGATGAAAACGAAATGACTGTATCCCTTACTAATAATGCTCCATTTTTATTCTCTAGTTGTGGAAACACTGCCGCCCATTGTGGAGGGGCCGCTTATGGTAACTGTCGCTACACTGCTTGTGGTGCTGGTCTCTGCTGTAGTAGAGCAGGATAGTACGTAATAACATAGATATTTTATCCATAGGAAAATCCGTTCTAATCTAGCTGTGACTCCTATGGCCCCAATTGCGTTTACGGCAAGTTATTGTCCAGAAAGCAGCCAGCTTCACTCGAAGGTGAATTCAAAGGAGAAGCGACATATTACAACGAGAGCATGGCCGGTTCGGATTACAGCACCTGTGGTACAAATCGAGCTCGTTCATTAGATGAAAATGATGAAAAAATCTATACGGCTGCTCTCAATCAAGTTCAATTTGATCCATACACTGTCAGCGGTATTCCAAGTACTAATCCAGTCTGTCAAAAGAAAGCGATCGTTAAAGGAAGCAAAGGTGAAATAGTCGTACGATTTGTTGATCGCTGTCGCGATTGTAAAGAAGGTAAATGCCAGCTGTTTGATAGTATCAATAACTTCATTCCATGCCTTTAGGTAATATTGCCTTAACGTACGATGGTTTCATGGCCGTAGCTGGTGAACTTGGCAATGGTCACACCGACATCGCATGGCATTTTCTCTAAAGTGAACAATCAAATACAAGTGTGACTGCAACATTTAAATTTTTCTTAATCGATGAATTTCATTTCTATTTTGTCATCGATTTTTATTCTCAACTTTTCTCATTCCTATCTACTACAAAAATAAACTTTCCTATTGCCACAGTGTAAATGGTGAAGTAAAGTTTGCGCCATTCTCTCCTTTCCTTCAACGCTACTGCTATCGTCAGTATCCATCAATATGAGCAACAGGAGCATAGCACTCTCCCAAGAATAATCCGGTCAGTGATAGAATTTGATAATGAAAGAAAATATAATTAAGTTACTTCGCACATATCGGATTTTTTCTCTTATATCCGCCACTTCGAAAGCGAATAACACGCATGGTTATAAAAGTCTAAAAGATAACAAACATCTTGCGTGAGGCTAGATGGGTGTGGGTGAGCAAAACAAGAATTCATATCGTTCCACCTATCGGCACTAGGGATGACATTTTTCTGTTAATTGGAAATACGTTTAAATTATTTCCTTTCATTATTAAAAATAGGAGATTCATTCTACTTTTTCTTGAAACTTCATGTAGCATGTATCTTGGAAGTCAAATTACGAAATGCAAATAATTCAAATTCGTTATTTATAATATTATCGATGATTTAAATTTATTTTGAATTTAAAGTTCTGATTATTTCATTCATGTATAATTTGAATTGAAAGAAAAAATATAAAGTGGCATCCCTAATACATACCCATCCCTAGAATTTAGATGTTGTTAGCTTGTCTCAACAGCAATAACAATCTAGTGTGTAAACAAGAACCGATCAGCCAGATTCAATGTAATAGTAAAGCCACTGTGAACAATGGAAAATCTGATAGAACTCTTCGATCAATAATTACCTGTGCGTGAGTGAATGCAGTGATAGATGTGGATGTGGGTGTGAGTAGGGTATGGGTGGGATGTGAGCGTGGATGTTGGTTGCAATGAACAGATATTGATATCCTACCTCATACCTACACCCTCAACTTATAAACAAGGTTGATCGAAGCATTCGAACCATATTACCAATTAGATTAGCAACTTTAACTTATGTTTTGATTGAAATATGATGCTTACAATTTGATTACTTTGAAATATTAATTGAAAAAATTTATTCGAAATCGAAATTTTTATGTATTATTAGTCAGTCTCAAGATATACGAGACACTACAAAAGTATTTTCTTCAGCCCTTTAGACGAATATTCAAAGGCTAGTTCTAGCCTGGGTCCCAAGGCAGACTTGGAACAGAACTGGTCGGTTGCCGATCTGGTCCGGTTCAACTTTCAAGACCGGTCGATCTTCATCGGCTTTTTACCGGTCTTTTTTAAAGTTTTTTTGGCACTAAATCCTGCTTATTTTGCTTGTTTTTAAAGATTTTCACGGTGTCAATGGCCAAGAGATATGACCCTAAAAGTTTTCTACTGATAAAATTTCAATCGTATTCGAAATCCCGATTCTAAATAATCGCCAACACTTTTTTATTCTACGATCAGAGCTTCATATCATGTTGAGTGAATTTATTATGCTCACAAAAAGTCAGCCAAATTATAAAAGTTGATGTCGGACTAAATTAAAGATGTCTCATGTTGAAATTTCGAACTCACTTTTGTGGAGTAATTTTAACCAACTTTCACAGAATTTGAATAGCCACTAATACTCAGCTCATGCTTTCATAAAAAATTTCAAAAAAATCAGTTCTGTTGCCCAGGTCTTTCTAACTATTGGTATCATGCAACCGCTATAATATCGAGGTATTAATAAACCTTAAATAGGAATTCTAATGTAAAAGCTATATGTATTAGCTAATCTTATATTTCTCTTTTCGCGGATTGAAATACCTTTCAACTGTATTATGTAACTAAGCATTTCAAATAAGAATACACCAAACCTATCAGCTGTAAAAGAATTGTATCATTATTTGAAAAAACCCAAATAATAGTCAGCTGTTGTTCAATGTTAGCTGCTGTGAGTTTATAGTCGAAATTTTTTGAAAGAAATCTTGATTCGTCCTTCACATTAGCATACTATACGTAACAGACTAAAATAGGAGTTGTTGTTAATTATTAGACACTCCAAGAATTATATGAGTTCGATATTGTATGTCTCTGTAGAATTGAAATGCTAGGCTGTTTCGCAAAAGAACTGATTGGTAAATTAATACATGTAGCGCATTGGGTTTTCGCCAGTTAAATCAAGAATTGTGACCGGCCGATTTTTTGCTGGTCAAGTCAAGAATTTGGACCAACTCCAAGGTTGTTCCGAGGTACTACCCATCAGCAACAATGCACTTGTGCATGCGATTAAACTAGATCATAGAAGTGGTTTTTGAGATTATCTTTGGTGAGGTGGATAATGACTTGTTGTAACACATTAAACATTGTGGTGTCGCTATTGAATTCAACTCCATGTAGTTTGTATTTGAATTTTGGAAGTCAAACGAGTAAGGATACGGAGATTATGTTGAATTTGAATGTGGTTCAATATGATTTTCTGCTCAAAACTCCTTTGTAACTCAGACTGTTTGTGGACCTCCATTTTCATAGTAAAAATTAATACTTCAAAGACTAGTCTCGTATTAAGCTATTGGGCAGCTTTGAAAACATATGTTAGGCAGTTATTAATAGGTAGACTTCCGTTTACTAGATTCTAAAGGGATGAACTAAGTTAATCTAGATTTTGTAAAAGAAAATTAATAAGATTCGTTGGTTTTTTTCTGTTGTTTCGACGAGCTTTCGCTATGCATGAATTAGTTTGTAAGACTTCGACTTTCAATTACTCCAGTATATTTTTATCATTATGATAAAACTATAATCTGCCACTGCTGATAATGCAGAATACAAGATGAAATCAGTTCCTTTATATTTCTTTGGTAAATGACAGTGCAATTGAACATTGAACTACTTTCAGTCATCAATAAGCTGATAATGCATCCATGGAGCACAAAACTTGGTAAAACTTGAAACAGATCAGATTAGTTGAAAATAACTGCCGTAGAAATGTTGCTCAGAGTGTCTACTATCCATTTGTATGTTCAATGAGACTCATCTCCAATTATCGCCGGAACAGCATTAAAAGTTCCCTCGGTTACAACAGCGAGAAGGTAATCTAACAGGATTGCACATTCGATTCTGAAATTACTCTGTCAAAATTAATGAAATCGATTGATTAGTATATGACATAAAGATACCAAGTCCTCTCATACTTATAATAAATGTGCACGGATTTCCTTATAAGTTAAGTTAAGTTAATTTACTAGCCATGTACAAACATACTTCGAAAGTGTACTCATGAGAATTCAAAAGTAACCTAGAAAATCCGCTAATCCAAGTTTGAAAGAAATGCAAAAATAAAATGAAAGTCAAGACTTCCAAGGCTGAAATTTTGAGAATGATCCTAAAGATGTCTAAGCATTATGGTAGAATTGTTTCGTTAAAAATTTATCTTTTAAGAGAGCCGAGAAAAAAACTTTTGTAGTGTCCTATATACAAATTTTTTAAATGGTTATTAATGAGAATAATTAATTATACAATCATTGTCTCAATTAGAAAAATTTCATTTACAATATCGTGAAAATGTTGATGACGGATATAAATATCCTATTTTTTTATGAAAAATCAAATCAAGTAAATTCATCATTTTGAATGGAACGTCATTGGATATTTCAAGCTAAAATCGTTGATAAATGTATCCATTATTCAATACGTCCGTATAGATATATCAGCAAGATCTTTTTAGATGAAATAGATTATGTTGTGTATTTTAGAAGAATCTGGTATCAATATACAAATGACAACATTTTTAGTTTTATTGAATTTTCTAAATCTACTCAGTTAAGTGTTACATTTACTAGCTCTAATGATACTCATAAACTATTAAGAAAAAATACAATACATGTCTTTAATATATCACAAATATACCATCTGGGATTTCAAGAAGACACAATTTTTATTCGTATATTAATTAAACTGATTAATCTTTTACCAGAATTTATTTCATTAAAACTGCGTCTTTTTTATCCCATGAAACAAAAGAAATGGATCCTTTAGAATCTGTTATTGGTACTTCAATAAAAGCTATAAATAAAATTAAAAAGTTATATCTGGAGAAGATTTTTCGTCTTAAAGAATTTTTTCTTGTTGAAACTTTTACGTCGTTTATCATAAATCAAAGTTGATAATTTAGATCCTATGAATATTCAATCTGTTTTAACAGATATTATTAAGAAAATCAATAGTGATCATTATGATTATCTTCGCCTGTTACGTTTTTCTCATCCAAACACTGATCATTCTATAATAAAACAATTGAAA